ATGTATGGGCATACCTGGGAGTCTATGTGAGTGAGCGTCGGTTTTCAGACAACAAACAACCAGAATCATAACAATTATGTGCCTGCTGAGTGGGATAGCTACTATTATCTCTCATCCAATTTTTTCCCCAAATTATGCCAGTAATACCCCAGTATCTTTTTTTTTTTTTTTTTTTTTTTTTTTTTTTTTTTTTTTTTTTTTTTTTTTAAGGCTAATTCCTTAAGCCCAACCAACGCAAAGAGCTTCTCAACTCAATTCTTTTTTTTTTTTTTTTTTTTTTTTTACTTCTAAAAGCCCAGGTTGTTGTAGTGGTCGGATTCTGGACATATGACAGTTACCTTCAGCACTCGGCCGTGTGGTTAATCAGACAGTCGATAGAGGCCTACTCACACTACCACTTCGCTAAATGCATCTGATGGCAATTGCGGACAGACCAGGATGAAGCTGAGTGTGGCCAGACAAGGATGAATCTGAGTGCAATTACGTCCAGAGGTTTGTAGAAAAAAGTCCTAGTGTGAGTATGGCCTCAGTTTTCCACCTATTTTCATTTTCATTGGTTGGCCAGGTGTTTGTTTTGGGGGGTAACTTCATTAGAGTCACAAAAAGGAGTTATAATTGCACTAGTATGGGGCAAGATACAGTTTGCAATTTCACTTCAGGAACCCTACCTGGCCAGAAAGCTGGGTTGTATACATTGCCTGAACTGCAATTCGAAACTGTATCTTGGCCCGTTATGTGCAATTATAACTCATTTTCGTGACTCATGCGTAGTTTCCCCCCCTTCCCCCCCCCCTTTTTTTTTTTTCCTTCATACATACGAGGTTCTATATCCGGATCAGTGGCTTGGCAGATGATACGTAAACCTACTGGGCTAGCCCCTGCTCCATGTGTCCTTTAGTCTTGCAACCCCTTGCTTTACCCAAATTTTCCATGGACTTGCTATAGTTGGAAAAGTTTGGCTGTTCGGATCGTAGTACGGGCCTGATCCGACTTCTACCGTTTTTCGTAAGAACCCAAAAGAACCACTTTCAGCGGAGCCGGTCCGCAAGGGACGTACAAGTAAAATGGAATCCTACTTGCCCGGTGTTTGAGGTGCTTTTTCGAGGAAAGCGGCGGGTTGTTGTGGGCGGGTGTGCGGGGTCAGGTTTCATGCTGTCCGTTAGGACACCGCGTGGTGTCCTGTGCGGCCCTGCGAACTGTGTGACTGGTTAGGTGGTGTGTCCCCCTTTGTGGGCCCAGGGGGGTTTGTGTGGCACGCACCCCCATACGCATTTTGGAGGGAAGTTTCTCCAAGACGGTCCCTCTCCCCCCACGCAAGTCTTGTCATGTTCTTCACGGGTAATCTTTTCACCATCGTCCTGCTTGTAAGAGGTAGCATGGCTGTAACATCGTTGTAGTGTCCATCTATGAGAGTGGCACTTGAGGCAAGTCGACAAGTGGCACGTGCACGGGCGGGAAGTTGCTGCGGCAGGGGGGGGAACCTGGTGCGTCTGTCGTGGCACGCACATTTTTGGAGTTGATCGACTTCGTGGAAAGCGGTGATCGTGTTCCACAATCGCCATAGCCGGGCAAGCTATGGCTCAATTGACGGCGGCCCAACTTGGTATGGTACTAGCTGCGGTTTCGGGTGGGTGCGGATGAAGGAGCATCTCACTGTTATCTCCGCTGCCATGTATACGGTGGGCTTCCCAGGCGGATAAACGTTCAGGTTGCTATTCCGCTGGCACTTGCTGAAGTGCCAATGAAGTGGGACATCCAGACCCCCAGGGGTAACTGGGGGGGCGGGGGGGGGTACACGGCCTTGGGACAGGATGTGGTGACTGGTTACCGTTGGGCCGCGCGGCGGGACACACCGTCGGGGTTACGGTACCGTGCCGGCCGTCACACACTGTCCACCGAAGGCGAACATTCATGGACTACCGTTTGGAGCGATAAAAAAAAAAAAAAAAAAAGAATTGCTGTCTTCTTTTTCACTACAGAAGAGAGGGTCGGCCTCTCCCGAAAACCAAAAGAACTACCGCCCCTGCGATCACGATCGTGCCTACACGTAGGAGACCGTTTCCACATCCCCGACATTCAGGGGCGGGATCCTACTTTCGTGGAAAGAAGTGGGATCCCAATTTTGCCTAAAAGTGACGTTCCTGTAAGAAGTCGGATCAGACCCTAAGGGCGTCGTTCGACACACCTCGGGGACGTGATTCCAAGGATTTCGTCTTCGTTCCACCTGTCCTCGGAGCCGATTTTCGAAACAGAAATGTGAAAACACTCCGAGGACAAATCCTCGGGCTCCGAGGATTTTCCAGCCAAATCGTCCTCGGCTCCAAGGGACCTCACGAGGTCCCTCGGAGTCCGAGGATCCGCGATAATCGGGGAGTCGGCGGCGAGTCCAAAAGGGAAATTGGTGGTCGGAGGTGGTCCAGTGGTGGTCCTCGATGTAGAAGACGGACATCGCGAGGCGCCGGCGTCCAAAACGTCCACCAACGGCCTCGTCTTTTTACCGTTGTCGGGGATTGGCGGTACGTCCCTGTCGGTTCGTTGGGCGGCCCCACGGCGGTGCCGTGCCGGGCATCGGACGTTTTCGGGCGGGTCGTGGAGGTGTCGTAGCGTTCCCGTGGGCTGCCCAACGGTCGGAAACAAGAATTTTTTTAAGCGTCCACCCCCGGCCGGTGGCTGCAGCAATTTCGTACGTTGGCGTCTTCCCTCGTGCAACGTGTGTCTCCGGTCGCCGCGATCACGACAGCCAAGTGCGTCCCCTCTCCTTCATGGCTGACCTGTGCCGCAGGCTGCCTTTGTTGCTGCTTGTCGCTGTGCTGCTGCTTGCCGTTGTCGTCTTTCATATCTGCATCCTCGGTCGCGTCCCTGGGAGGAAACAAAGGCGGCGAACGACGAAGGCGACCGGGAAGATGGAGAAGGTGCAGACGAAGAGGACGATGTCCGTAGGGGCTGGCGGGTCGTCACGTCAGCGTTGCAGCTCTGCGGAAGGCGGCAGGCAGTCGTACGGCCCGACGCTGTACAGCCACCTGTCGTCCCACGAGATTCCATTGCCTCCGAGTGACGACGACAGCGACGACCCCCGATCATCAACGGTTCCTCTGGGCAGCGGTTCGACGTAGGATTGGATGGGGAGTCAGTTGTACAGACAGCCCTCGACGCCGACGTACACTTATCTGCTGGAGGGGCGGACCCCGGTTGGTTATGACGCAGGGCTCGTAGATCTCAGCTTCGGTTTCAGGTCTGGGAGTGACCAGGACGTCACACACACCGTTCTCGTGAACCCGGCCGCAACCACACAGCGCCTTCGGTGGGGCCGTGTGGCCTTCCTGACACCCGCGACCGGGGTTCTGGTCAGTCGGGCGACGAACGTGGACTCGTCTCGCGAGGGCGGGGGGCAGTGGGCACAACAGGTGTTCGCGCGTCCGGGACGAGGACAGGTGGATCGACAACGGCAGCCGGCGCAGTCCACCGAGGACGGGATGACGATGACGGCTATGCTGCGGAGGTCGTGGGGCGAGAGGTTTGGGATGATTACCGGCGACAATCATGTCAATCTAGCACGTCCGCCATAATGAGAGGGGTGGCGAAGATCAATGTAGGGGCGGACGACACACCCGGCGATTGCGACGGTGCGGGTGGTGAAGATTGCTCGGCAGGCGACGGGGGCAATGACAACGACAGGGACGACGACGGGGAAATGGAGATTCGTCCGGTGGGGAAGAAACGGGGAGGGCCTAGGGCGACGAGCAAGTCCAGCGAGCCGCGCACGGGGCGGAGAGGCAAGAAAAGTGCGGGAGATGCGTCGGCAGGCGACGGAGCGATAAGCAGGGATTTTTGGACCGTGGAACACATGATTACTCTTGTCCGAGCTAAAAGAGACCAGGATTTGCATCTTGCTGGCCTCGGCCACAACATGGGAAGGATGAAGACGAAGACATGGAAGTGGGCGGACATCGAGAGCAGGCTCGTGCAGATGGGGGTGACGAGTAGAAAGGTCGACGACTGCAGGAAAAAATGGGACAACCTGTACATGCAGTTCAAAATTGTGCACAAGTTCATGGGAGAATCGGGGGAGACTGATTTCTTCACACTGACGCCGCGGGAGAGAAAGGAGCGGGGGTTCGATTTTCGGATGGACGAGCGTGTGTATTCGGAGATGAAGGCCATGTCCAGGGGCGATCACACTATACACCCCACGAATCTGGCGGATACGGGTGCGGCGGGAGGACGACCTGGAGGTTGGAACGATTCAGGCAGTAGTGACAGATGCGGGGATGGGCAAGACGACGATCAGGGATCAAAGCGGAATTCAAGTTTCAGCAGCGGCAGTGCGGGCGGGTGCGGCAAAAGGAAGAATGTGAGACAACAGACCTTCGACACCATTGCGGACGTCATGAAGGAACACGGGAGTCTGATGGCGACGACAGTGGACAACGCGAGCAAGAGGCAGTGCTCAATTCTGACTAGGCAATGCGACATTCTCGAGCGAGAGCTAGAAGTGCAGAAGAAGCACTACGTGAAGGTCGACCAGGCGAACCTGTTGATGTGCAACACCCTTATGGAGATTGCTAAAGCGATCCGCAAACGATCATGAAGTCGATGGGCCACACATGTCCAACGTCCACGCGAATGCCTCATGTGTGCTTCTGGATCGTCGGCGTTGCCCCCGTACTGCGTGGTGCTGTGCGGTGGTGGGCAGGTTGTGTACAGACGACGGGTCATTTCTGCAAGCGGTTTCCATTGCAAGAGTCGAATGTTTTTATTAGTTTCAAGGGTGTTGATTGCTGTCATGCCCGTCGGCGCGTCCTTCGGTTTCAAATTACGACGCCCGATTATTGTTCAACGCCTGTTGATGTGACGCGTTGCAGCCACACGCGGATGGGGATCCAGCAGGGTTTTTTTTTTTTTTTTTTGGGGGGGGGGGGTGTCGGAGAAAGGAATGGATGGCAGGGTGTGTTTTTTTTAAGCGGGAGGGGACAATGGGGGACAGGGGCGCCTCGAGTTTTTGGGGGGTGGCGGACGACGGAAGCGTGCCGGGGTCTTTCGACCTCCACCATGGTCCTCCTGCGCGCCCACACGCATTGTTGGCCATGCGAGGGATCACCAGAAGCCTTCGGGAAAAAACGGTCCGTGTACGATCGACCGGGGGGCGGGCTGTCGTGGACGGCGTGGCGTGTACACGGTGTGCGGCGATAGCGCAGTGCGTTGAAAAGGAGATTCTGGGCCCCAGTCTGTACGACAGTACTTCATTTTCCACGTCTTCGACGTCTTCGACGGTGTCGTCTGAGCAGTGATTTGTAGCCGCACGCCAGCACTTCCCGACCTTTGCCTCTCCATGCTCGAGCTTTGTGCACCGCGTGCAGTCCCCCTTCACACACCGCAAGCACGTGCTCTTTTTTTGCGTGGCCGTCGTCGATCTCCACACGTCCTTCTTCCACGTGCTCCTTCCCGTCAGGCACGTCAGGCAACTTCCCGCGTCCTCGATCTCCATGGTCGAGCTTTGTGCACCGCGTGCAGTCCCGCTTCACGCGCCGCAAGCACGTGCTCTTTTTTAGCTGGCCATCATCGTCGCGGCTCCTGCCCACCACGATTGCGCATCGTCCACTTGCTCCGTCGTCGACGTGGCCGTCGTCGATCTCCATGCGTCCTACTTCCACGTGCTCCTTCGTCGACGTGCTCCTTCGTCCACGTGCTCGTCGTTGCCGAGTTGCGGACGACATGGCCCCGAGGAACGCATCAGTGAAGGCCAGGAAAGATAGCGGGGCAGGCGACGGGAGGGAGACCTAGAGAGGCAGAGGGCCCGTGCCTAAGTCGAAAAGGCAGCGCGTTGAAGAGGCGAGCTCCGACCACACTGGAGACTTCCAGCAAGAAGAAGTGCTGATGGTGGACGCGCAAGGGACTTCAGCGGCGGCGCGATTGGGTTTCGGGCGGGATGGGGTGTCGAAGGAACAGCTGTCCGCTCTGAAGCAGAGCATTGCTGTTGGTGCTGCCGGGGCATCGCAAAGGACCCCGAAGGCGGCAGGGGTTGTCATAACGGAGGTGCGTGTGCCGAGGCAACTTCCCGCGGCGGCGGGGCAGGGCCAGCCACGTCTGGCACTCCCCCTGCAACAAGTGGGGGCTTCAGGGGGAGGGAAAGCACAGTCCGCGCAAAAGGGGGATGCAACGGCGATCGACACTCGGATGGCGGCGGCGGATCACAGCTGTAGAAGCAGAGTYGCCGAARGTGCGACCGAGGAGAGGGTAGACRACGTCCGCYATGACGATGGAAGAAGAGACGGAAAGCGGGAGGGCGACGACGACGACGACCGTCCACCTTGTGACGAGGTTGAAGGGAGCCGCAAAGGAGGATGGTCTGGAGGAGAGATCGAAGTTGTGGGTTGATTGCGACTCTTTCTGGGGTCAGGGACCGGGGAAACCCTTGAGGGAGGGGGTTGGTGAGTGCGCGGACTACTTCATCGCCATCGCCAACAGAGACGCAGGAACTGAACTGCCTGTAATGCTCATACTGCCGCAGAACGATGTGCCGCGCTTCAAGATCGAGGACCTGCGCAGCTTGAACCGGCTCTACGTAGAGCGCGCAGCGTGGAGAAACTGGTGCTGCGCGCCATCCACGGCTAGATCTTCAAATCGTCGTCGCGGTCGGCTGGATTCGCTCGTGCAGAGTCGTACATCAGCGTCAATATTGCTACGGACGTCGCACGAGCAGTTTGGCAGGGGCAGGAATGGTCGAACGTGGTGTCCCCTGCACTCGTGTACCACACTCTGGCGATGAAGATGGTCGTGCCTCTGTGGTTCGCGGGGGTGATTGTGGATCGGCCCGAGGACGACGACATGGCGGCGTGGCAGGAGGCAACAGTTCTTCGCGTCGTGGAGTGCTGGACAGATGCACTATGGTGTGGACAATGGGCGGACGGCGGTCGCGTGAAACAGGAGAGGTTGTCTAGGCTTGCGGACTGTCTTCGAGCGCTGTTGAGCGCGTGCATGTGGATCATGCGCATGGGTGGTGACGACGACCGTTCGCACTACGAGGCGTGCCTTTACTCGTCCATGGTCGCCAAACCGACAATGATAGCGGCGGGGTCGTACATCTTCAACTGGCGGCGACACATCGTCGACAGCGCGAACCTCGTCTTGGATCGTATAGGGAAGGCTCACCTCACGCTGGGAGAATACCCGCATTGCATTCCGGAATGGTGTGACTGTGGGTTGGTGTTCGGCCACAACGCGGCCCTGAAGAACACGGCGGAAGCCGCGAAACACGGATGGATCGGCAGCGGGCCCGCGGCGGAGGAAGAGGGAAACGAGGACGGTTGACACGTGGGTGCGTCTGTGACGCAGCGTTAGGGTGCGGATCGTCGACTGACTGGAGCATTGAAAGACGCAACGACAAACGCAGCGCCTGCGACCGCAGACGGGGTAGCACGGGCGGGATGGGTGCCGGCTGGTGTTGGTGGTTCATCGGGGGGGGAGGGGAGGGGGGGGAGCGTTAGGTGGGCCGTTGTGGTGGCTCCAACGGCGTGTGGTCATGCATATGTCAGCTTGTACTCGTCGTTGTTCATGTGTAGTGAACGATGCATTCGTTTATTTTGTGTTATTATTCGGTGATTGGAGCGCGCTTTGTACGTTTGCTTCGCCGTAGGGTTAATTGGGTCGGCGGACTGCTCCGCTGAAATGTGCGTAGACGGCAGGACCAGTCCGTGTGTAGTGGGGAACGCTTGAAGTGTCGATAGTTAGACAGAAGGGGGAATCGCCGCCTGTGCGCTTGATTTGTTGTAATATGAACTCAGTGAAATGTGTGTTGCTGTTTCCATGTCGTGTGGTTGCACGCTAAAGATTGCTCACGGAGTCATGTCGTCGTTGTCTTCTGTGTGGTTTTATCACATAACGCACGCGTGAATGGCCATCGCATTGTCGTCCGCATCTTTTTCTGTATGAGGCCCTTTCTTTCGATTTCACCTATCGCGACATCGTTGTCATCGCCGTCAACTTAAGAAGGAAAAGAAATAAAAGGAAAAAAGGCAGGAACCCAAACATGCACTTTCATTGTCATCTTTGTGTGCATGGCGCCCGTGTCTCCCTTCCTCATGCCATCGCCGGATCCTAATGATTGCACCTACCATGAAGGAAGGGGGAAAAAAATGAAAACAAAAAATTTGAACTACTACAAGGAAGGTCACAGCGCTGTTGCCTGATGAGCACATCTGTTGCGAGTTCATATTTCTTTTGTTTGTCGATGCATGTCAGTCGTCAATGCAACAACGAAGCTTTTCCGACAACAATTCACAAACACGATGCATGTCATTCGTCAATGCAACAACGAAGCTTCTCCGACAACATTTCACAAATGCAGACAAGCCGATACGACATGCACAACACACGTTCCATGCACCGCAAAAAAAAAAAAAAAGATCCCTCGAAACAATAGCTGCAGTCGGCTACACCAAAACATCCATTCCCAAACACCATCAAAAACATTCACCGTTCGAAAGTTCAAAAAAAAAAAAGGCGCTGTGAAGCGCATACGAACCAGCGGGCTCACGAACCTCTTCGTGCCAGCCCTTGACTATGACTCCCATCTACGACTACCCCCCCCATCAAACAAGGACCAAACCCATCGACGACTCCACGGCATTGCGCGGGAAAACCAACTTCTCGGCCACGACGACAATGAAAAGCCAAAAAACGAAAAGACGACCGTAGAGGACGAATACTACATCAGCGACCCCGTCGCACTCCCGCTGCGCGACGGACTGGACTTATACAGCGTCGTGGAATACAAGAACAAACACCTGAAAAGAACCCGACCGCGACGGCAGACCCTCACTGGCGATCGCGCGCGTAAGCGGAAGACGAAAGAGTTATCGACTGACTATGGCGGGACACGACTTCAACGGGACGAACAGGTAGGCGGCTGGCTGGAATCAAACGTGTTTCATCCGCTGCGCTTGTGCATTGTGAAGCGCGTGAGCCTCGCGCGTCGAAGTCAATATGGACACTGGCTGCGGGGGGCGATGAATCCCCAGGTCCACTCGACGCCTCACCCCGTTCGCGTCGACCTCCCACAACAAATTCTCGTCGAACTCGATGCCTGCATCGAGTATGATGTTGTGGAGAATGCATACTGCCGTGAAATGCTGCGGCAGACTGTCGAGGTTCGTCTTGTGCGTCCGCAGGAAGAGCCTCCACATCCCTTTCAACCTCCCGAACGTCCTCTCCACGGCCCTTCTTGCGACCTTCTGCTTCGTGTCGAACCTTTCCTCGTCCGGGTGCTGATTGATTCCTCGGCACGGCACCACCACCCACTCAGAAGGAGGATACCCGTTGTCGCCCAAGATGTATCCGTTCGTCCTCACCTCTCCCGGCAGCGTCACAGGCGGCCCACGAAACAACAATCCCTCTTCCGCGCGCCTCAACGGACTTGACAGCTGGATCACCCTAATGTCGTGGCAGCTCCCCGGATATCCAACGAACACATCAAGGACGCGCAGATCCAGGTCCACCACAACCTGCGCAATGACGGAAAAATGGTGCTTGCGGTCGAAGTAGTTCTCGCTCGGCGCGTTCGGCAGTTTGTCCACGTAGATGTGTGTGCAGTCAACTGCGCCATGGCAGTTTGGAAAGCCCTTGTCCAGAAATGCCCGTAGCACGACTTGTTTCCGCACCCCTGTCGCCCACGATATCTTGTCCCCGTACACCCTCAAAATAGCGGTTGTCACATCGCGCACGGCTCGAACTCCGGAAGTCCTGCCTATACCGAAGGATGATGTGCTGTTATCGTAAGACTCTCCTGTGGCCCACCTATACAGCTCGTACGCGACGATCTGCTCCGGCTGTAGTGGCTCCTTGTAAAACGTCACCTGCCGTTGCACATGAGGCGCACATGCTTCGCTGATCTCCATGAACACTCTCCTGGACATGCGGAGCTTTTCCCGGAAGTAGTCGTCTGTCGCGTCATCGCACACCCGTAAATCCTCCCAAGTCCCGCCAGCTCTCCGCCGCATCCACCAACGTGGTGTCGCCCGAGGAAGCAAACCGCACCCGATCGCAGCACACAGCTGAACCACGGCTTGGGATGTGGTGATGCAGTCCGGGGCGTCCAACACCCTTTGCAGCAGAAGCCTCTGCCGTCGCCTCGAAAGCGCTGCCTTCATGCGCCTGGCCGCACTCTCAATTTGGAAATGACGGACAACGGCAACCGCAGCCGCCGCAACAGCTGTCTTCTCTGTCGTCGACAGCACAGCAGGTCCATCGCCATCGCAGTCGTCCATCCTGTCCTTCGAAGACAAAAAACGACGTCCACCGCCGCCCACCTCCGTGCACCTCTGCCACCACGTTCGACGACGCCTGCAACCACGTCAGGAAGACAGCCCGGCCCAACGACGCGATTCCGATTGAAGCGTCCACCCACCGCCGCTGAAGAGCAGGACCGCCACGGCGCCTGCACGTGGCGAACGCGACTGCCTACCGGACGACTTCGTTTTGCTGCGTCGACCACACTTGACGCAGTGGCGGTGTGGCGCCACTGAAATACGCAACGCGATGGCAAACGAAACCCTGCGAGGCGTAGACTGCCCCCTGGCCGACCCGGCTGTGCGCCGCCACCACGTCGCTCCGCAGGATCAAAATTCGAAATTCAAATTTCGAAAGGGGATGTTCCCGCGTTGACGATTTTTTTTCCAAGGGCCCGTGACGTTTTCCCGTCGTCCGCCTGTTGGACCACCACGCCTGCTACACGGACATCCCGAATCGAAGGCCGGACATTCCTCTCGCGGCTGTGTATAATCTAATTAAACTGGCCGCGGGAGGGCGCCGAGGATTCGTCCTCGGGGCAATTCTCCGAGGACAGGTGGAACTACACCTCCGAAAATCAAAAATTACTCCGAGGATTCGTCCTCGGAGCCCAAGGACGCGCTGAGGTGTGTCGAACGACGCCCTAATACACCTATTGCAAAAAAAAAAAGTGGTTTTGTCTCATCACTTCCTCCCATCGGTGAGGGGTTGCCTTATTTAGCATTGGCAGCCTGCTTTATATCTCAAGAATACAGACTCATTAGAGTGCCAATTTGAACATGGATCTTTCTTCAGGTCCCTTCTAGCTGTCCCTCTAGGACTAATATTGCCTTTTTTCTGGTGAGGGAGATTGTAGAGTTAAGAGGCTGTTAAGAGGCCTTTCACTATCTACCTACCACTATTCCTAGGCCTATACAGGGGACCCCTGCAAGCATGTGAAAGGTGAAATTAAGAGAAGAATATAGATTATATACTATAATACTTCATACTATATAAAAAAGGTTAGAGAACAGTATATATCCTACAGCAAAACAAATGCATTGGATGGACATTTGCTGGAGTTAGACGAGTCAATCTCCTGGGCCGTGGTCCCACTAGCGAAGGGGATAGGACAGAAATCCTGAATCTGGATATGTGTTATGCAGAGATACAGAAAACCAGTTCTATCTCGATTTCCTGCTCCTGTCCTCAAACACGTCCAGATTCAGGCATTCAATCCTATCCTCTTTGCTAATGGGACCACAGCCCTGATGTGTTGTAAGCCAAGGGAGGCCTGTGACGCGTCAGAATAAAAAATCAATCTCAGCAGCCATTCCGATGACAGAGCTGATTAAAAAAAAAAAAAAAAAGAGAGAGCTGATACTTATAGTGTCTGTGTCCAGTATCGATAGTCTCCTTTTCCCCTTTGCTCGGATCAGAGAGTCCCCTTTTTTTTTTTTTTTTTTTTTTTTTTTTAATTGGAACAAGGCTCCAATCAATTCGTGGGGAGCAGCACGTGCTGGGAACGGGCGCCAGCGTCCCATATGGAAATATACATAAAATTTGAAAGTTTGAGATACCGGCCCTACCGGGGGCATTACGCGTCTTTTTTTGGCTAAGAAAATTTTGAGCTCTTTAGAAATATGGTACCCTAGATATGACTTTTGATTCTTAGACTACTGAATTGCTTCTCGACAGGAAAGCCACCGGATATTTTTTTCAGCGAAGGGACCGAGCTTTGAGTCAAAGACCACAGTGGGCCTCCTTAGACACTCCTTGGGGACGTGAAATCCACAAGGACGCGCTCGTTCCACCTGTCCTTGGGGACGAAATTGAAAAAGAAATGTGAAAACGCCACAAGGAAGATTCCATGTGGCATCCTTGTGGCCCCAGCCATTTCTTCCTTGTGCCCAAGGGACCTCGCGAGGTCCCTTGGGCACAAGGAATCTGCGTTTCACGGAGAGGAGAGGGCACATGGGTAGATAGACGTTACAGCTGAGATTCTGGATCGTGGCTGCACCCTATTGGCTGAAGGCCTGAAGCGCAACTGTTTTTTTCTTTTCTTTTTTCTCTTACGAGCCACAAGGAAAGGAAAATTCCCTGTGGCGTACGGAGTGTCTAACGAGGCCCAATGCCGATGTGTACCACAGTGCTTTTTTTTTATTTTTATTATTATTATTTTTTTTGTTGTTGTTGTTGTTGTGAGATCCTGATGCAACATTGTTCCAGGGCATATCTGTTCGAAGGGGATGCTGAAGCCAGTTTCCAGCAGGTGCTACTCCCCACCAACAGATGGAGTGGTCATCTCTAGGAATACTAGGACGGGCTGCTCATAGCACACTCGTTCGGTTTTTTTTTTTGTTTTTTTTTTCCCCCAGGTCGCTCCACTCAATTGGTGGGGAGCTACACCTGCTGGAAAGCTGGTCCAGGGTTGTGTCTCAGTTCCAGTGGGGCTGATCATCCGAAAAGACCAGCTAAGCACCATCGGCTTGGTCAGCCTTTAGGCCCTTTACCTAACCAACCACCTAATACTCCTAGTGAAGAATTAGACGTCCGAACACACAGGTTCCGGTCCAGCATTGATTACCCTGAGACCAGGGGATTGACTGAGCAGGTAAGAAAAACAATACATGAGAGGGATAATTGCCAAAAGAGCCTTCTTCAGCCCTGCTGCTGGGCACCGGTTTGACCCGACAACCTGGCCCCCTTCGTCCTGCGTCCGAAGTACCCTGCCCGGTGCCTGTAGCAAGACTGCCCCACCCCCCGCACGACGCCCTTCGTCTCCTCAAGCCGCTGCGCAGTATCCTCAACTGACCTGTTCGTGACCTTGCCACGACCCGTCTCAGCCAGCTTGCCTGTTTGCCTGCATTCCCTGTGCTGTAACCCTGCTTAGTCAGCACCATCTTACCACTGCATGTCCACCATAGAAAGTTGATGGGGTGGGAAGGGGTCAGGCAATTCTGAGGGCGGACGGGCGCAGCAGGATCCCCTGGTCTTTTTTTTCTTCCAACACGGCCCGGGCGACGCTAGGGGTGCTGATATGAGCGGCCACCCCTAGCACACCCAGGAAGGCTCCATCTATTAGTTGGCACAGTCCTTGAAGCAAATACTGTAGTCCCTCCTACATTCGTCCTGATTGTGCTCCGGGGCACGGCTGCCTTGTCATCGGACGTAGGCGATCCGACCCCTGTTCTCACTGCCCAGCCAGTCTCCTGAGAATTGTTTAATTGCTTGTGTGATGTCCTCCTGTGAATGAAAAACAAATCCAATCGAGTTTTAACTTTCTGCCACTGCGCTTAGCGTGTCCATCACCTCCTCCCCTTCTATGCGGACCCCCTCAATGGGGTGTATCATTAATGCAGCGTTTTCTCCAGAGGGCCCATATGACAGCTCTCCTCCCTATCTTAAACATATTGTTTTCGAAGGCGCTGTCCGTCAGGGAGGTCCATGCCTCACAACATAGTGGCGCCCTCCAATCCCAGGCCAGGCGGACCCGGTGCCCGACAGCCTCCAGAATCCTGTCCCACCATGGCCATGTGAGGACCGCCCCCAGGCTCTGCAGATAAATGCGTTCTGTAGTTTCTGGGATCTTACGGGAGGGAAAGGCAGTTTCACAAGATTTACACCATCATCCTAATGCCAGTTCCCTTTGCGTTGGAGACACTCGAAGAGACTCGCCAGAGTCATAACTGTATGATATCAAGCGACTTCCTGATTGGAGTCATCCATCATGCATGAGGTTATTCATTACTCAAGTTAGAAAGCCGTGTGATGTACGACATCTTGCACGGTTTGGTGGCTCCAGGTGCATGCAATCCACTAACCGGTTATTAGCAGGAAGGCAGCGGTGTTCTATTCTATCTGCCATTGAAGCGAGGCCAACTCTGCAGGCCTAGACCTCGTAACAGTGAACCATCGAATGGGGCGGATGGCCTCGTTCCCCACATTCAAGTGAGACCTCCAGCGGGCCTCCACAATTTCCTTTAGATTCACCTTTGGCTGCAGCAGTCGGTATGTGGCCTTCGCAGTCAAACTGAAAAACGTCGTCTTCGTAACTCCGTGCCAAACGATGTCGTGTGTCCAGGAGTTCACTGCCACTCCCCTGGATCGAAGGGGAGTTTGGCGAGAAGGGTCCCTGGGCGGAACGCTATCCATTCGTCCTTATTTCGTATTTACCTAGGTTACCAATGGTCCGGAGACCGGATGGCTCCCCCGGACGTCTCCCCAGATGTCATGTACCCCCGTCGTCCGGATTTCCGGACGACGGCTTTTTGGCACTAAAAAAAAAATAATAAAAAAAATCACAGTGTTGCGCATGCCCTAGAGACCCCCCACAAAAAAATTCAGATTTTTCTGAGCATTTGGTGATAGGGTGGTATTTGGGGTGGGGGGGGGGGTGTACGATGGATTTTGGTGGGGATAGGAGGGGTATAGGTGGGGATTAGAATCTTTGAAGATTTTTATTATTTATTCTACTGGCCCAAATGATCCAACAATTTGGTGGGATACACCTAATGCAAGGTGGAAGCCACATGACTTTTGTCAATTTTTTTTTTATTTTTTTTTTTTGCGCTAGGTCGGACATACCCTGTCCGGTCCGACGTCCGACCAGACGTCCGGTAGGACATTTCGGACGGTCAGGGCGGTCCCGGACGTCCGATCCAACAACAACCTAGGTATTTACCCATATCATATCACTCGTCCTAGTAGGCCTGGAACGACCATTACTAAAATAATTAAAGAAAAAGGTATCTTTTTTTGGGGATAATATTATCACTTGTCCTAGTAGGCCTGGGGTCTAGTCCCACCTACAGCGTTGAGTTTTCTCAACGCTGCGCTTTCTATCACATGTGGCATGGTGGGACGGAGCTCTGCCGTTGATGTATTGCGAATCTAACCGTACCAAAATACAGGAGAATAACCTATTAGATTTAGTCATTTTGTAGAATTTTTCTTGGACGTGAAATCCGTTTTGTAGTATGCGTTGGCCCTTTTGGTTTGGGCGGGAAGCCATTTTCCATTGAGAAAACTACCCTTTTCTCAAGGGCAGTGCCTTTCCTTTTTTTTGTTTTTTAAGACCTCATTGCATCCTGAAACGGAGGA